TGCCGCTCCTGGATCTCTCTCCCAGGGCAGACCTTGCATTTGCCGGAGCTGCAGAGCGGTCCAGGAGCTGTCCTGAATATTACGGGGTGATTGCTAGGCAGAAGCAGGGCTGGAAAATGGGAAGTGTCTTACAGCGCAGCTCCTCTGGGATCGTCCCGTGACCCTCACGGGGACCAGGCCCATCTTGCTTCTAAAGGGGGCTCGGCAACCGATCGAAACACCCCATCCCAGAGCAGTGGGGTGGCTTTCCCCGGCTTGTTCTGCTCCCTGGGACCTTTGTGGAGGCATCGCTGGCTCCCCCAGACGCTCACTGCCACTCGGGACCAAAAGCCGTGATGCGCTGCTGTCTAATGCAGGGAGCCCAGCTGGTAGCACACATGCCACCAGTGGCACAGTCTTCTTGCCTCTGCGGGAGGATCACATAAAGCTCTGGTTGCCTGGATTTGCCCAGGGAGGTTTCTCCCACCCCTGCCCCATGGTGAAATCCAGGCCAGCGGGGAACCTGGGACTGGTGGGCACGTGCTGCCCAGGTATGTGAGCCCCTCTGGTCACTGTGCTTCCCAGGAGAGCTGCTGGAAGAGTCCCACGTGGAGGCCTCCAAGCTGCGGCAGAAAGTGGAGGACCTGGTGAAGGACAACAAGATGCTGCAGCCGTCGCCTTTCCTCTCGGACGAGCTGCTGGAAGTAACAGGTAGGGGCACTGGGGGCACCTGGGTGGGGGGTATCTGGGAAGATGCTCCCTTTAATGAGCAGCCAGGCCAGGTCAGGAAGCCCCTTCCCCTCCCGGCACACTCCACTGGGCATCCAAAAGCCTGTAGCAATGAGCCAGGACCTGCCTGCCTGAGGCTTCCAGGTGCTTGTCCAGCCCAGGGGCTGTCCTGGCCTTGGCAGGCCTGGGAGGAAGGTCTCTGTGACTTTTTCCCATGGGTGAGAGTTGCAGTTGTCTGCTCACAAGCCTGGGCAGACCCAAGAGGCCACAGTGGGTCTTGAGGGCTGCAGTAGGGGGAAACACCATCTTTCCCTGCTGCCCGTGATTAGGGCAGGCCCTGAGGATGAAACACCCACCGCCTGCTTTTGTAAGGGGAGACTGGCCACTGGTCTAAATGCAACCAGGAGCTGTGATAAGGAGCAAGAAAGCCTCTGAAGCACGAGAGCCTGAGTGGGAGAGCCTGGTGCTACGAGACTGGTTATTGGGCTCCCCTTTAGTTTGCCCCCTAATAAGCTCAGAGCTAGTACCAGCTAAATCCAATGTGTTGCCTCTGAGACAGAGCCAAACCCACTGTCTCCAGCCTGCACAAAGCCAGAGCTGCTGTCTGGGCTGCATCACCCCAGCTAGGTCCCGGTCACCGGCACCGTCCAGGATCCCCATGCTCCCGCTGGGGTAGGGACAGGTCCCATGTCAAGGCTGTGATGCTCCCTCTCTTCACAGGCAGGGACCCAGACAGCAACATGACCTCGACGGATCCAAGCAGGGGCGAGAAGGAGCAGGATGCAGAGACTCGGCCGACTCCGCTAAGTGTAAGTGTGGCCGAAGGAGAGACCTGGGGCATGCCTGTGTAGCATGTGGGCCGGGCATGGTTGGTAAGCCCCTGTCCTCTGACCTGATACTGGGGTGAGGGCAGCCTTTGGGGTGGACCTACCCAGCGCGGTGGCTTCTCCAGTCCACCATCGATCGCCTCCCAGTTCTCTGACCCCTGGAGACGCAGGGCTTGGTCTGCTTATAAGGGAAGCCCCTCTTGCCTGGGAGTCCCCCATAGCTGGACCCTATCCCCAAGCCCATCCTCCTCCCAGATCTGCAAACAGCAGTGGGATCCATCCAGGGGCTGGAGGGACCTCTCCCATCCACGCTGCCACCAGGCGATGGGCTCCACTCCCTGCCTGGAGCCTGACCCCTGCCTGCCTCCACAGGGCTCGTCCTCTGAGTTCGAGATCGTAACCGCTGAGGACAAGAGGTTTTCCCACGAGAGCAGGAAGTCGGTGAGTGTCCCCTCCCCAGCGCGACTCGGGGAAGCTTTTGGGGGCTGCACCTGCTCCATACAGCAAGCAGGGCTGGCGTCCCGCAGACCGAATCCCAGGGGTGGGTGAGGCTTGTGCCCCAACGACGACTGCATGAGTTCTCCTGGCACCAACGGGCTGTGCTCCCTAATGGCTGGCGATGGATGGGGTTGTGGGGTGCTGAGGGGCAAGTGCTGCACCCAGGTGGGTGAGGCAAGTGGAGCTGTCCTCTGTGTGCTCCCCGGCTGGGAACATGCCCCTTCATCCCCCACCCCATGGTTTGCCTGCGGGGCCAGTGGCCAGGGACAAATCAGGAAGCTCAGGAGGGGGGGAAAAGCCTGTTTTTGCTTGCCTGTGCAAATAGTCATGCACCCACGGGCCTGGGCATCCTTCCAGCCAGGTCATATGGCACTGGGGACAAGTGCTATAAAGTCCTGCATGAGGCAAAGTGCTGGAGCACTTAACTCTTTCGGCTTGTCGCTGACTGCTGCGTTCTCCCACCCACCCCCCTCCTTGACCAGCTCCTGCAGGGCTTCTGCACCCCTCCAGCCATGCATAGACCCCTGCGATTTGGCCCTATAACGCCCCCCCCACGCGTGACTCAGTTTGGCCAGCAGGCTCTGCTCAGTGGTTGCATTCAGCTTGTAAGGGGCCCAGGAGATGGAGCCCGATCCGGAGGAGAGGCAGTGTTGCGGGGGAGAGCAGCATTTCCCACCCCACTGGCCTCAGGGAATGGGGAGGAGGACAGAGCATGCTGCAAGCCCTGGGCAGGGAATCGGGGCCTTGCCAGCCCGTGGGAATTCATCCCAGGGCACGTGGCACTGCGCAGCAGCTGGGCCTGGGAGCTCAGGTTATGGGCTGCATGTGGAGGCTGTGTTAAACCCCATTCATAGTGGTTCGGCCTCCACGAGGGCATCGAGAGCCCTGAGCTCGGCCGATCCAAACCTTCAGGGAGCTGCCGAACCCGATGCAGCACTCGGCTCAGTGTCCCACCCAGCCTTGCGGGTTGGGATCACTGGGAGCACTGGGCCTGTTCTGCTTCCAGCTCAGCAACTCTGGCCAGGACCAGGACAGGCTGTGGTGCCTTCACCATCCAAGTCAGGTGGGGGCTCTGCAGTCACTGCCGGGCTCAGTCCCATTGCAGGCTTGGCGATGACGATCACGCTTCTGGGGACCGTGTGCTCTGCTGCGCCGGTGGCTTTGGTGACTCAACAGTGAGAGATGCGAGGGCTGGACACGTGCTTTTGCAAGGCTGGGATTTCCTTCAGGCACCGGGGACAGAATGAGTCGGCCCAGTCCTAGGGAGTGGTGCCAGGCCCCTGGCAGGTGGCACAGTGGGACCTGCTCCCATCCCTCTACCCTCGGAGCTATCCACCCTGGGGAGAGATGTGGCCGTGCCAGCCCGGTGGCGCTTGCAGGCCAGCGCCTCTGCCCCGCTGTTTGTTGCGTCTCCCAGGAGATGTGCACTCACGTAGGACAAGTCTGTTCAGTTCTGGGGACGCCGGTGCTGTCAGCATGTGCGTAAGCCAGGGGTGTGCAGGGGTGAGGCCAGTGGGTGTGCCGCAGCCCGGGGATTCATTAGCCATGATTAAATACAGCCCAGTTGGATGAACGCCAGAGCAGGAGAGTGCAAGCAAGCAAGGGAGAAGCCTTTAGCTGCGGCTGGCGATGCGGTGGAGGGCTGCACACCAGCTGGCTTGGATACTGGAGAGGCAGAGAAGGGCATTGCTCTGGCTGCGGTGAGACGGTTCCCACGCAGACAGAGCCGGCAGCTCCCGGTGAGAGGAGGGAGCAGGGAGGCACTGCCCATCGGTGAATGAAGCAGCCTTGGGGAACCGGGCTGTGACAAATACCAGCATTGCATGGTAGGGCTGCATGGAAAGGGGGCACCGGCATATGGGATGCTTTGGGGTGCCCACTGCGTGCTTTCTGGGGGGTCTGCCTTTGTGTTGAGACCAGCGTGGGCAAGCCCAGATCTCCTTGACAGCTTGTAGAAAGAGGTTTGTCACCGTCGGAGCAGCGAGGCGCTGGAGCAGCCTTCTAGTAGGAGCAGCAGGGGCAAAAATGGACAGGCGTGATAGGCAGGTGAATGGGGGTACGTGACCAGGCTGCGGGGCCTGTATCACAGGGCCGTGTTCCCAGGCATGTTCTGGGAGCTCGGGGGTCTGCATCGCTGTGGTCAGAAGATGTACGTGACCCTCGGGTGCATTGAGCGAGTGAAAGGGGCTCTGGTGCTTCTGCTTGGCAATGGCATGATGTTGTGGGGCCTGTGATCCCAGAGGGAGCTGGAGCAGCAGGGATGAAGAAGACCTGGAAAAGCAGGTCCTGGAGTGAGAGATGCCAAGAGGTCCCTCTGCTTAGGACGTGAAGGGCTGACTTGATCTCGGGGAAGGGGGTTGGCAATGGGCTCTTCTGGCTAGCAGACCCAGCAGCTGGGCACTAAAGCTGGGCTGATACAGACTGGAGAGGAGGAGCAAGTTCCTAGCAAGGACAGCAATTAACCATTGAAGCCTTCATCTTCAGGGTGTGTGCTTTGATCAAACATGAGCTAGTGGCAGTAGCCCCCTGAGTTCATTGCAGTAGCCCCCTGCATAACCCAGTGCCTGGGGCTATTGCATCCTGTCTGGGGCAAGCAGCCAGGAGATGCCAATTGCCGGCAGAGCCCAGCGGTAGAGAGGAGGCTACCTTGTCTCTAGGAGCAGCAGGGAAAAGCGAGATGAAAAAGCAGTCTGTTGAGCCATGCTGTGGGTATCTGGGGGTCTGAGTTGGGCATGGGACAGATGCTGGGCACAACAGGCCCAGCATCGGTCCTCCAGGCTTCTGGGCCCTGTGAAAGGCATGGGCTGCCCAGCACGGGTCCCGCTTTGACGTGCCCTGTAAACAAGGGCTCACCTGGCCAGGTGTGATGGGGCCAGCTCCAGGCTGGGAAAGCACCCAGAAAGCCCAGGATGGGCAGATGCTGCCGAGTTGCCCAGGAAGAGTGAGTGGCATGTGGTAGCTGGGGTCCTGCCCTGGAGAGATGCACTTGCAAACACATTCATGGGCACACAGGCACCTAGCTGCTTTGGGCATGCAATGCACCTGGGCCCACCCCCTCGCCATTGACCGCGTTCTGCCTCCTAGGACACTGAGAAGCCGCAGCACGAGGACGCCAACCTGATGCTCCACCTGCAGCGGCTGGAGAGCACCCTGAGTGTCTTCGCCGAGGAGGCCGACAGGAACCAGGTGCTGGCCCACCTGGGGCGCATGGCACTGGAGTTCAACCGCCTGGCCTCCAAGGTGCACCGCAACGAGCAGCGGACCTCTGTCCTGCAGGTGCGGGGTGCTCCAGCCTTCCTCCTGGCTTTCCCCGCTACCCTGCTAGCCTCTCTTTGGTGTTTCTTGCCCCCCATGCTCCTCCCCACCTGGCCCGTCGGTCTCCTAGCTGCTTCCTTCCAGCGTCCCCTTTCCCCGTTGTTCTGCTCACAGGGAGGAGGGTGTTGCCTGCGAAAGCTCCCACCTGTCTGAGCCGCTCGGTCTCCAAAGTGCCACCCTCTCCTGCCTCTTGGCCAAAGCCATTGCAGTCCATAGGAATCCCATACCTTTGCCTGGTACCTTCCCTAGCAGCAAGGGCCAGCCCAGCACCAGGCAGGGGTGAAGCACCGACCTCCCCCATCTGCCTGTCCTGGTTTCAGGATGCCTATGGCGTCTCAGGGCAGGCCGTGTCCCCAGCTGCCCTCCCTCGAGAAACAGTGGGAAATTAAAGTCTTGGGCATTTCCCCGGCAGACACTGTGTGAGCAGCTGCGTAACGAGAACGAGGACCTGAGGGCCAAGCTGGAGAAGGACCTAGAGCAGAGAAACCAGGTTACGGAGAAGCTCCGGTGAGTGGCACAGGGGAGCAGGGATGCGAGGTGGGGTCCCTGACTGTCTCTTATCCACATGCTGGTTTCCCTGCCCTGTGTAAATGCCTTTCCCACACAGGTGTGAGAACCAGGAGCTGCGGAAGATGGTGCTGCTGAGGAAGGAGGGTGCCAAAGGGGACGGCGTGGAGCTCTGCAGCCCGCAGCAGGTAGGATCTTGCTGGGATGCAGCATCGTCCCAGGATAGAGCCCAGCCTGAGGGCTGACCCCCTTCCTTCCAGCAGCAGACCCCAGGGAGACCTGTGCAAGACTCATCTCCCACCCTAATGCCCAGTGCACAGAGCCAGCCCAGGTCCCTCTGCCTCTCCACAGACCTGCAACAGCTGGGGCTAAGGGGGAGGTTACATGGGGACAAGCCAGTGGCTTCAGCCTGGCTCAGGAATTGATTTCTGCCCTGGAGGTAGGCAGGTATCAGCTTGAGGCTGCCTGATCCTCCCCACACCATAGGGGAGGCAGCATGATCCCCAGGAGCACTGGGTTGGTGCGGAGAGACTAATGGCAGATGTAGGACCCCCTTCGCCCCCATATGGGATGTATGTGGCCTCCCCCTCTGTATGCTGGAGGCCCTGAAGGGTGCGGCATCTGCTCCATTGCAGAGCGGGGCTGCGGCGGAGAAGGCATCGGGCAAAGACACGAGCGAAGCCAGCGAGAAGAAGGTGAAGATCCTGGAGCACCAGCGCAATGAGGTGAGGGGCAGGGCTGGGCAGGGCGGAGGCTGCAGGCAGGATCGGGACCAGACCTGGGCCCACACAGCCAGCGAGGGGAGGGGGACCTGGCTGGGGCTCACTTTGCATCTCTCCCCTGCCAGCTTCTGGAGGTGAATAAGCAGTGGGACCAGCACTTCCGGGCTATGAAGCAGCAGTATGAGCAAAAGGTAACTTGGGGCGCACTGGGTGTGATAGCATGACCGCTGAGTGTGCTGTGGCCCTAGGCGATGGAAAGGTCCTTGCGCTATGGGCACGATGGAAAGGCCTCAGAGAGCACTGTGTGCTTGCATGTGTGCATGTATGTCTGTGTGTGCATGCATGTCTGTTTGTGTGTGCACATATCTGTGTGTGTGTGCGCGTGCATGCATCAGTGTGTGTGTGTGTGTGTGTGTGTGTGTGTGCGCGCGCGCGCGTGTGCATGCATATGCAAGAAGCCATCATGACTGCAGTTCTGGTGCCTCCAGTCCACGCTTTCCGGCCTCCCTTGCTCTGGGCCCTGTCCTCCAGTCCAGATGGCTGGAGTGGACTCATTGCAGGGGGCATGGGGCCCTTCTCTTTCTCCTGCCGCCCCATGGGCGAGGGTGGGAAGTGAAGGGAGCACAGGAGGGGGGCTCTGCCCAGCCCAGGCAGCACCGGGCATTTGGCCTCCCATCCAGTGCTGAGCGCAGCTGTCCGTGCCCCTCCACAGATCACGGACCTGCGCCACAAGCTGGCGGATGCCCAGAAGGCGCTGGGTGAGCAGGAGGTGGAGCGGGAGCAGAAGCAGCGGGACTTCGACCGCAAGCTGCTGCTGGCCAAGTCCCGCATCGAGGTGGAGGAGGTAAGTCTGGCAGGGGCTGTTGATGGCCCCCCCCTCCCTGGGGGAGCTTTGGGACTCGAGCCCCGGCTTCCCATAGTGGCCCTGGCTCACCTCTCTTGGACCACCGAACTCCCCGCAGCCAGGTCAAGGTCAAGGGGAGTGACAGGGCTGGGCTGCGTGTAGTCCTGAGTTCACACCAGCCCTTCCAGCTTCTCATCTCGAGCAGGCTCTCTGTGGGCACTGGCTTCTCCTGCCTTCATGGCTGTGGTCCCTCAGCACCCTCGCCACGATGGCTGACGGGGTGGCACAGAGCAGACACAGCCCATCCTCTCAGATTCGCTGGCCATGCTGGCATGGGGAGAGAGTCGGATGCACCTCTTGTGCCCTTCCCGACTCTCCTGCCCCTTCCCTTCCAGGCGGAGAAGGAGCGGCTGTCGGCCGAGGCGAAGGAGCTGAAGCAGAGGACGCGGTTCCTGCAGGAGCAGCTGGCGCCAGTCACCAAGCAGCGGGAGTACCAGGAGAAGGAGATCCAGAGGCTGAACAAGGTGGGGCTCCTGCCCGGTACACCCCGGACACTTGGGTTTTGTGTTGCTCTCCTCCAGCCTCGTGCCCGCAGCCCACATTGTCCGTATCTCGGTGTCAGGCAATTGAGACCTTGCAGTACCAGCCATGCAGCCTGGCCAGCCCTGTGCCACACCAGCCAAAGCTTTGCACAGAAACCCACCCCTCTGCAAGCTGCTGCCACCCCAGGGACCCGGCTGTAGTGGGTGCACTCGTCCACCTCACCACGCACTGGGTGAAGTCTGTGCCAGGGCCCCTCTCAAGGAGTCTCCCCCTCCCCACTGCCATTCATGGTGGGTATGGCACTCACGGCTCTGCTCCTGTCCCCTCAGGCCCTGGAGGAAGCTCTGAGCAGCCAGGCGACTGCCCCAGCTGCCTCAGCCTTCGTGAGCACTGCGGAGCCTGGCGGGGGCATGCACCGGCACGAGCTGCTGACCCAGAATGAGCTTCTGAAGCAGCAGGTATTTGGGGGGCCCCCTCCTCATGTCTGCACCCTTGGGAGATCCCCACAGTGTCAGGGCAACACCAGCAGGACACAGAAAGGGGGTCGTGCCCTCATAGCAGGGGAGGCTGTCCAGGCTTTGAGGCGGGGGGCAATCCGGGGCTACATTAGCACAGAGGGTACCTGCTTTCCTCCCCTCTGGGCTTGCTGTGGCACCCACAGCCTCCCTTTACTCCTCTCTGCCAGGTGAAGGTCTTCGAGGAGGACTTCCAGCGGGAGCGGAGCGACCGGGAGAGGATGAATGAGGAGAAGGAGGAGCTGAAGCAGCAACTGGAGAAGCTCCAGAAGCAGCTGACGGTGTCCAGCCACCAGGTGAGGAAGGCGCCCTTCACCCCCCACGGGCTTGCACCCCTGCCCTTCATCCCAGGCACCATTTCCACCAGGCTCTGGCATCAGCAGGGCAAGGGCTCAGGCCCCACAGGGGATGACTGCCACAATACTCTTGCCCCTGTTGCACCCCAGAGCCAGCTGCCCCTATGCTGAGTGGGACAGGTAGCCTGGGGGCAGCTTGTCCTGTTACCTGTGGGGTTGGCTGAGCTTGGGGGGGCATCTCTGTCACCCCAGGGGGTGCAGGGGGGGCACCAGGCAGCAGCACAGCTGGCCCGAGGGGACTCCCTGCCTGGAATTTGAAGCTCCCAGCTTCATCCTTCAGCTGCCGGTGTGGCCAGGACCCCTGCAGACAGGCCTGTCCTCTGCCCCTGATGTAGGGGACAGCTGCTCCACATACCTGGGGAGGGCACAGCTCCCTGGCCCAGAGGGGCTGCAAGTGCCGGCTCGGTTCTGAGCCCTTCTGCTCCATCCCTCAGCTGCGGCTCTGCAAGGATGACTGCCAGAGGGAGAAGGAGGAGAAGGAGAAGCTGAAGAAGGTGCTGAAGCAACACAAGCAGGTACAGGGCAGCAGCAGGGTCCGGCTCCCCCCTCCTGGGCTGGATCAGGGAGCATGAAGGAGGACCTTAGAGGCATCTCTTTTCCCCCCCTGTTGTCTGCAGTCTTAGCTGCACCCCAGAGGCACTGGGCAGAGGGGTGGGGATGTCTGTGCCCAGATGCCCAGGGGATGGGCATGATGCCCAGGGGATGGGCATGTGGGGAAGAGAGGGGTCTGCATAGTGGTGACGTCTTAGCTCAGCTCTTGATGGTGCCCATCTGCTTCTGGCAGCTGTCTGGGGAGAGGCTGGCCCCCCAGCCGCCAGTTCCAGTACAGCCCGCCGGTGCCTCACCCCCTGTTCCACGGCTACGAGGACTGGCAGCAGATCCGGTACCCGCCACCCGCCCAGCACAGCCCCATCCAGAACTTCCGCCACTTCCCTCCTGTAAGTTGGACCTCGGTGCTGGGCTGTCCCCTCCCGCCTGCCACCCTAGCCTCCCCAGTACCTCCTCCTCCTCCGGCGTAGCTGTCTGGTTGCATTATGCCTCAAGCTTTCATGTCTTCCCCCCTCTTCCTGTAGGGGCTGGGCAGTGCTATTGTTCCCATTGTACAGAGGGGGAAAACTGAGGGGGCTAAGTGATCTGACCAAGGTCACACGAGGCATCAGTTTCATAGTTTCATAGTTGGTCGGGTCAGAAGGGACCTAAGCAGATCATCAAGTCCAACCCCCTGCCATGGCAAGAAAGGATGCTGGAGTCAAATGACCCTGGCAAGGTGTCTATCTAGCCTCCTTCTGAAGACCCCCAGGGTAGGAGCCAGCACCACTTCTCTTGGAAGTTGGTTCCAGATCCTAGCCACCCTGACTGTGAAGTAGTGCTTCCTGATATCTACTCTCAGTCAACTTATGGCCATTGTTCCTTGTTACTCCTAGTAGTGCTCAGGGGAACAGGGACTCTCCCATAGCCTGCTGGTCCCCCTTGGCCAGTTTATAGATGGTCACCAGGTCCCCTGTCAGCCTTCTCTTGTGAAGGCTGAGCAGGTTCAGGTCCCGTAGCCTCTCCTCGTGTCCCCATCCCTCCTGAAGTGCGGCGCCCCGAACTGGACGCAGTACTCCAACTGCGGCCTGACCAGTGCTGCATAGAGGGGGAGGATCACCTCCTGGGACCTGCTCGAGATGCACCTGTGGGTGCACGACAAGGTGTGGTTGGCCTTCCTGACCGCGTCCCCACACTGTCAGCCCATGTTCATTTTGGCATCAATAATGACTCCAGGATCCTTTTCTGCCTCTGCGCTGACGAGAAGGGCACTCCCCAGCCTGTAGGTCTGCTGCTGGTTCTTCCTCCCCAAATGCAGCACCTTGCACTTGTCAGCGTTGAACCACATCCTGTTCTCATCCGCCCACCCCTGTAACCTGTCCAGATCCAATTGCAGCCTGTCCCTCCCTTCGAGCGTGCCCACTTCCCCCCACATCTTAGTGTCATGCTGCATCCAGGCTCCTGCTAGGCTCCATCCGCCTCCCCGCCCTGCAGCCGCTCCTTTCAGACATGGCCTGTGCCCTCAGTCATGCTGTCTGTGTGTTCCCCGCTCTCCTGTTTCAGCCAGAATATGCCTGGCGTCTGCCCCCCTGCACAGTGTCCCGAATCCAGAACCCCCCGGCAGTGGATGGGGTGAAACCATCAGCTAAGGATGCAGGTACAGAGACCCCCAGGGAGCAGGGGGGAGGGCTGCTTATTGCTCAGGAGCTGAAGACGGGGCATGAAGATGCCAGGAGTAGCCCCTAACGGGGATACCAAGCATGTGGTGCGCAGCCGAGCACTTGTGCAATGTCGGCCTGTCTTTATCTTCCAGAACCTGCAGGCCCGGGGGCACCCAAATCCCCCAGGCCGGTATAGCTGCCGGCTGACAGCAGAGGAGCTGCGGTGAGCCATGTGTGTGCCTGTGTATATACAGACCCCTCCTGCTGCTCACCCCCTCGCGTCTGCTCCGGTGCATCCCGCACACTCAGCTCGACATGTCCCGGAGGAGCTCCGGGTGGAGGCAGCACCGTGCCGTGCCCCCAGGCTGCGAGGAGCAGCTGGTGCCTGGCATGCTGTGCCAAGGGGGGAGGCAGGCAGGGCTGAATGCCACGCTTTTGTCCCCAGCCCTGCAGCCCTGGGGGTTCACCTCCAGCCCTCATAGCTCGCTGCTGGGAGCCTCCATGTTGCAGGAGCCTGTGTCCCTTGGGTGACTGCAGCATAACGCGGTCCCTGGCCTTTCACGTGTGTGGCTGTGGGCAGAGCCGCTGTCCCGCGGTGATGGACAGCGATGACACTACCCTGGTAGTGATGGACAGCGCTCATTAGGAGTGAGCCTGGACAAGCCCAGAGCGGGCCGGGCGCTGGCTGTAGGTGAGGCGTCTTTGCCTCTTGGGAGAGGCAAAGCGGGAGCCCAGCTGCCCCCGTGTTGGTTCTTTGGGGTGTCTCCCACCTCCCTTCCCCTGAAACATGCTCGCCTTTTAACCTGCCCCAAATCTGACAGAGTCTCCTGGCCTGCCTCTAGCCCTGCCAGGGTGCTCTGCCCTGCAGCCGGCCCTTGGCACAGGTCTGTTTTGTACAAACCTGTCACCGTGCGTGTGCATTTCTTGGACGTGTCCCCTCCCCTAATAAAGTTGAGAGACTTTCTACCTGCTCCGCTTGGGTTTGCTGCGTCTCCCGGGGTCTCCTCCAGCTGGGGCAATGCAGGACACTGGGCTCATGTCCTACCACATAGGGGTTGCTTTCCTCCTCTGTTAACCCATGCTGGGGTGGCTTGTATGCCATGCTGGTGTCAGATTGCCCCCTCCTCAGCCACACCGGGGGACATGGTCAGCTCTCAGATTGCACCCTCCTCAGCCACACCGGGGGACATGGTCAGAAAGGACGGGGGGTTGCAATGGACAATAAGCTGAGCAGGAACCAGCAGTGTGCCCTTGTTGCCAAGAAGGGTAACAGCATCCTGGGCTGCATCGGTAGGAGCATTGCCAGCAGATGGAGAGCAGTGGTTCTTCCCCTCTATTCGGCACTGGGGAGGCCACATCTGGAGCCCTGCAGGGCTTTGGCAGTGCCACTGGACGGGCTGCCCAATGCTGGTCCAACACGTCACAGCTGGGCCGAGGGCTGGTGTCCAAGCCTGACCCATCCCAGGCAGAGGAAGGGGCCAGATCCCAGATTCAGCCCATCCCCCTTACATCCCCAACCTTCCCGTACAAATCAGGCCCTGGGTGTGTTTGCAGAGTCTTTATTGTGCATGTCTACAGCTGCGGGTCTAGGCGAGGGCGGGGGCCAGGCTCCCGGAGAAGAGGGGAGACGCGCATCTCTGCAGGGACCGCAGCACAGCTTGAATGCACTAGAAGAGCTGTGCTGCACCCGGCAGCTCGGGGCAGGCCCGCCCTGTGGGGGCTTTGGGCCTGCCCTTCATGGTGATGCGGCCTCCAGGCTCCCAGAGCCCGGCCTGGCTCTCACTCACAGGTGAGAGGACACTAAGCTGGCACAGGCAGAGACCCCGCATCCTAGCAAGCCGAGGTGGGCAGGAGGAGAGTCCAGCGGGCACGTCCTAAGGCTAAAGGGGGCTTCACTGCAGGGGTGGGGTGGGATGGGCCGATGCACCTTATCCAAGAAGCCCTGAAGCACGGTCCTGTCCCCCCACTGAGGACACAGCCACCAGCTGACAGCAACAGCCAGCTCCATCATTGAGGCTGGCAGAGTAGATGGGGAAAGGGGAGTCATCCTTTTGGGGGGGTCCTAGCAAATAAATAGTGACACAGGGCATAGTGGAGGGGATCTCAAGATGGGAACAAGTCCCTGGGTATGCACCCATAATGCAGAGGGGACAAGGGATGAACGGGGTGGCTGGAGAGGGCAGCGGTGGGGGGCACGGGGCTGGTGGCTGCAGCAGGGTGGGGGACAAGATGCCGCCTCAAGTGAGCACCTGCAATGAATATGGAGTCGTGGGAAGCACAGGGCTGTTCTGAACTGGTCGTGGGAGCTGTAGCCCGGGCCGGTCCACACCGAGCAGCGTGACAGGCTGGGCTGTGTCGACAGGTGCCCTGCCAGCCCCTTCCCTGGCACAGAAAGCATCTGAAAAAGGATATTCCTGGGGGCTCCAGGTGCCGAGGAGCACAGCCTGGGGGGATTCGGCTCTGGATAAAGCACGGCGGCCTACCCCGCCCCGTCTCTCAAGTGCCCGCAGGCTTCCTAGAGCGGGTGCTGGGCTTTCATGTACTCCACGATGTCGTTCTTCACCGTGGCGATGTTGGCGCGGTGGTACCACCGCATCACCGGCACCCCGTCCGGCCCCACCAGGAACTTCTCGAAGTTCCACTTGATGTCGTGGATCTTCAGCGGCTCCCAGAAAAGCTTCTTGGGGTCCCCAAAGTTTTCCACCACGGGAGGGCAGGAGTTCTGCAAGGGGAAGGAGGGACAGGCGTCACCACCGTGCCCCCCCCGGTCTTGCCCGCTCGAACGTGAGAGGAGGGCGTGCACGGACCTTGAGGAAGGTGTAGACCTTCTGTTCCTTCTCCCCATTCACGTCACCCTTCTGGAAGAGCTGGAAATTGGGGGCGAAGCCTCCCCCCGGGCGGACGTATCTGGAAAAGTGGAAGGGGAGAAGTGGGTGGCGAGCCCCCTTCCACCCTCTTCCAACGCAGGTGGGAGCTGGGCCCATGTAGGACCCCGTCCTTGGCAGCCCCCACCCCGGACCGGGCTCTCCCGGCTCTGGTACTCACTTCAGGGCAGGAAGGATCTCGGCGTTCTGGCCGGGTTCTTGTTTCCCAAACTGGTTGGAGGGGAAGCCCAGGATGACGAGTCCATAGGGCCCCAGTTCGCTTTGTAGTGCATTCAGTTCTGCATGCAAGCAGATCCCCCCGACCCCATCCCCACTGTGGGTTAGTCATGTCGACGGACCCAGGGTGGGGCTGGACCCCGACCTGGCTGGGATCTGCCATTCCCGGTGGCACCTGGTCTCTCCCCATGGGGTCAGCTTTGCTCAGCTGCCTGCAGCTCCATTGCTCTCTCCCAGCCTCTCCTGTGAGGTTTGCCTAGCCCTGGCTATTCCCATAGGCTTTGGGCTCAAGCCCTGCTTTGTGCATCCCATCCCCATTGCAGCAGTAGGGACTCACCCGGGCTTCCTCCACCTCTGGCTGCCACTGCCTGACCCTCCCGTGAGGGAGACGAGCCCCTAGGACTTATGCCGGACACAGCCACTGTGCACCCGACCTCAGGGACACTTCCCCACCCTTGCCCTCTCGTCTGGAAATGGACCGTGCCCGGGATGCTGTGCCAAGGGGCGGCTGGGAGAGGGCGGGGGGCTCTTACCAACGTACTGCATGGTGAGCCCTCAGTACGTGGCCACGTTGACGAAGAGGATCATCTTCCCCGCGTACTTCTTGAAGGGGACGTACTCTTCCCCGTCGATGGTGAGGGCCCCGTAGTCATAGACTGTGCCACCCACATTGCTGTAGCAGTTCACCTGGAAGACAGCCGGGCAGGCCACATGGGCGGGTGCTCAGGGCTGGGGACACAGCATCTGCCCGCACCCCAGCGAGGTGCCCCCAGGGAGGTTTGGGGGTGCCCCCACCAAGGGGTCTTCCTGCCTGGACTCTCTCTAGTCCCGTGCAGCCGCAGCTGGGCTCTCGGGTGTGGGGGAGCTCGCTGCATGGGCATAGATCCCACCATGCACCCACCCACCTCCCCACCAGTGCTCCCAGCTCCCCACCTGGCTGGGAGAAGGCCGATGGCACCCAGACCTGGGCAGGAAACAGCCGGGTGAGTAAACGGAGGCAAACCCATTGCATGATCTTGTTGGGCCAGGAGAAGGGCAGCCCTTGTCAGGGGCCTGGGCTGTGGCGAGCGAGCCTGCGTCGTCAGGCTGACGGCAGCCACTCGTGATGGAGTGCCCGTCTCCTAGGAACGGGCCGTTACTAGGATCTCGTCGTCAGGGCTGAGGGTGCGATGCAGCCGGGAGCACGGAGCCATGCCGGGGCTTCTGGGTGAGTCGGTGCTACCCCTCTGGCCCCCGGTGCCAAGCTGGCTGGCTGGGGCTGCTAGCAGAGCTGCTCCATCCAGCCTCTTGGGCAGGCATGTGCCAAGACTTGGCTGCGTCTGCCCCAGCTCGGAGGAACCCCAGGCTCCCTGCACCCCGGGGTGCTGCGTGGGGAGGGAGCTGCCCTGGGGTGGAGCTGGGACAATGAGACTCTGCGGGTCCAAAGCCAGAGCCCCAGGAGGTGCGGGCTGCTCCCCTTCCCTTCAGCGAAGGGTCGCTTGACCCTAGCAATGACACCCAAACCCAAGAGCTGAGGATGCAACTATGTGCCAGGGCACCTGCAGCATCCCCCCCAGCCCTCACTCCCTAGGAAAGGCTGGTGCAAAGGGGCCAGGAGGGCAGCAGCCACACATCTGTGGCTTTTGCCCCCCAGCCGGTCATCTCCAGGGTCATGCTAGATCCATGCGTCACACGAGCCCCCGTGCGGGCTCTATTTTGGGAGCTGCTATCAGGCAGGCACACGAGGCTGTGCCAGGCTCTCCAGGGGAGCCGTCTTGCTGCCACGTCGGTCTTCCCTGCAATGCCGACGGTCCTGATGATGCCTCCCCCTATGTGGCACTGCTCCCCACGGGGCAGAGGGGCAGGCAGACGCCAAGTGCCCAGGGCACTCCAGGATCCCGCCTCTCCGGGCACCTTGCCCAGCACCTGCTGCCCTGCACATCCCTGCCCAGAGCAGAGCGTGCCCACGGCTGCGAGCGCACCGTGCTGGCTCCATGCTGTACCCATCAGCAAGCCGTCCCCGCGACGTGCCTCAGGGCCATGTCTCCCAGCCGAGACAGTGATGTTGCCCCATCCTGCAGAGTCCCTCTGCGGCTGTCCGTGAGCCCGGGGTTCGGGGTGGCCGGGAGGGCATGGGGGGGAAGCAGGAGGCAGCCCAGGGAAGGAACAGGGTCCTGCCACTTCCTCACCCCGCAAATCACATCCCTCCCCATGCACATCAGCAGGTGGGGGCCACGGGACCTGCCCCCCCTGCAGGCTGGGGGTCCCGGTCCCATGCCACAACCCCACTCCCTGCATCCTCTCACCCCCTTCGTGCATGCCTGAGCTCGGGAGCACGGGACCCCAGGCCTCTGCGGCCAGCATCGGAGACCCCCCAGCAGGCAGCAGCACCCCAAGGCATGCTGCAACCCACCCTGCCCCTTACCTTGTCTTTCTCCTGCCCCCAGTTCGGCTGAATCAGGCCAGCCAAAACCAAGGGGAAGATCCAGGAGGCGTGCAGCTGGCCCCCCATAGCTGCAGCAGGGCAGGGGTACAAGCCCCTCTCCCTGCCCGCGGAGGAGCTGGGTGGCTGGGGTTATCCCTCGCTGTCCTTTCCACCACGGGCTCTGCCACCTTCCAGCTCGACAGGGAGAAATAAAGGGCTGTGGCTGAACCGTGCCAGCCAATCAGGGGCAGGCAAAGACTCCCACAACCCATTAACCATATGGGCCCTGGGCTCGGGCACCGCTCCCCAGCCCAAGGGGCACGTGCATTGCAGGGGGGTGACAGGGAGGAGGATGGACCCAGAGAGGAGCTCTAAGGGCAGGGCTTGGACCTGGCTCAAGGCTCCTGGCGCGCCAGCATGCAGCTGCCAAGAGCCGGAGGGCAAAGCCCTGGGGGGGAACGGGGGCCGGAGGGCAGAGGACACAGAGTACGTGCCTGGACTTTATGCAACAGGAGATTAGGAGCTGCACAATAGGGAAAGTCATAGCTCTTATCCTGGAGCAGGCAGCCAGCCCCCACCCCGGCACAGCCACCCACAGCCTGGCTCTGAGCTCCCAGATGGGGCGGAGGGAGGTGCTGGGGGAGCCTCAGCCTGTGCTAGACGTGGGCCAGCCCCAGGTCCCCAGTGCACGTGGCAGGAGGGTGGACAGGAGAGGCGAGGTGGAGGGGCAAGGAGCTGGGGGTGCTTGCAAGGGGCGCTGTCAGCAGGCGGGGGGCACGTGGACCAAGAGACAGGCTGGGGCAGTGCCAGGGGGCACAAAGGTGGCAGACGCTGTGTCCAAGTCTCAGAGCCCCCCTCCGGCAGGGTCAGACAAAGCTCCTGCATGGGCAGTGCCTGCTCTGTGCCCCCTCGGGGTCCAGCCTGGCCCAGCCAGGGGGCACAGACACCCCTTGCTTGCTGCCCTGGCCCCACACATGCCCTCCCAGGGGTTTCGGGTGTCCCCAGGAACGCTGCGGCTAGCACTGCCCTGCCTGTGGGCGCTGGCCTCGGCTCAGCTGCTGCCCTGGGTGCGGCCCACGTCCCTGTGGGACCGCAGCTGCAGATGCATCAACACCAGTTTAGACACAGCCCCCCTCGTTCCCTGCTCAATAGAGATGAGCCCAGAGTGCCCAGGTGTGGGATGCATTTGGCAGGTCCACAACCCCGGTGGGGTCCTGGGGCTGAGATACCCCTCTGGACTGGGTGTCAGCTGCAGCGAGGGGGTGTCAAGGAATGCTTTTGGGGTATTTGGGCGGGTGGAGGGAGGCAAGGTGGGTCCACCTCAGCTGCTCCCTGTCTGTGGCGTCAAGCCACGTTATTGCTAGGACTAGACAGCACGCCAGAGAGCCGGTCACGCTGGCGGTGACTCAGCCAGGACTCCTCTCTGCTCCCCATGCATCTCCTTCCCCTGACCTCGCTGTCCTGCTCAGCACCGTCCCCTTTAGCATGCATGCTGAGCCAGCTCTGATCCTTGCCCCTTGCTGCACCGAGATGCACGCCGCCCTTCCCTGCTCTGTAGTGAGGAAAGGGTTAACCTAGCCAGGGGATGCTGCAAAGTCTGGGGCCAGCTGGAGCTGATTGCAGCTCCTAGAAAGACAAAGACTGGCCCAGCTGCTCTATGGGGAGGGTTGATTGGGGGTGGTGAGGCCTTCTCCTGCCTGGGGAAGGGACTACCTGGTCCATCTGGGACCAGATAAGGCTAGGGCAGTCTTGCAAGTCAGGAAGGATTTGGTGCTGGAACATGCCGTGAGAAGCGGGGGTGGCTGGCTTCATTTCAAAGGGGCTGCAAGCTCCTCCAGAGACGCTGAGGCTCCTTGGAGCAGCTCTGCTCCCAGGCCAGGGCTGGGTTGGGCTGCTTTGGCGACAGGGATAGAAAATGAAATGCCATTCACCTGGTACATCAGTCGTGACAGATGCATTAAAGGGACCTGCATGACAGACAAACAAGTCCTATTGCTTTATTTGTCCAGAGGCAAGGATTGCTTAGGGCAATATCTTTTATCAGCTGCAGAGCCAGGTAGGACAAGCTTTTGAATGCAAGGCTTTCCTTCTCCGGTCTGGTTCCCATGAGCCAGGCACAGACTGCAGCCACCTTTACCCCCTTGAACAGCAGCTCCCAAAGTCTGGCAGCTTGAGTCCCACCGATTTAAAATTATACAGCCTTAAGTCCCACCAGCAAAGTTTTCATACACATCGGTAACAAACTATGTATTAACAGAGAAGATATCGCTGTCTCCAGATGCTGCCAGCTTAGGGGGGCAATGTTAGGAGGCTAAATCCAGAGCAAAAGGAGTGGCAGAAGCCACCGGCACTGCAGACAGTCCATGCAAAACTCCCAGGAGCTCTGTTTTCTAGCAAATCGCGTCCTACCCGTAGCAGGGTGAGCCTGGGAATAGCAGAGCTGGGTGGCTAGGTGCAGAGGTTCAAGTACCAGGGGTGGCCTGGATGGAGCAAGCGGTGGCTGTGCCCTTAGCCGCTGTGGCGGGCATGCAAGCAGGGGCTGGGAGGTGAAGGAAGGGGCTGCGGTTGACGAGGCGTGAGATGAGGGGGAGAGGAGAGGTTGGGGGCTGTAAGGCTGGCCCGAGCAGCGAGGACCAGAGTGCTCGGCTGCCTTGGGCGGGCTCCAGGTGGGTGGCTGTGCCCTGGGCTCTCCTAATGGCTGTCCCCCAGGCCCCGCGCAGCCCCCGCCGCGGCAGCTATAGCCGAGAGGAAAGGTCCCGGCTTCTTGCCAACAGCAGCGAGAGTGCTGGCGGGTCCTGGGATTTCCAGAAACTTCCAGAGGGATCAAAATATTTACCTGGCATTGGCTTCCAGTTAAATATTACTGACACTGAGGCAACTGCTGTCCCCTGGAGGGGACCGGTGGGGAGCAGTGACCTGGCTGCAGGGCCCTTTGGGGAACTTCTTGCCCAGGTCAGGGGCTGCTCGTTGGCGTAACACGAAGGTCTTGCAAGGCATGGGAATGGGGAGCAAATGGCAAAGCTGAGCCTAAAATGCCGGGCCTGGGCTGTGAATTGCTAGAGCTCAGGCTAGCACGAGGGTTGGCTGCCTGGGGGACTGCGAGGACTATGCCCAAGGGGGCAGGTGTACATGGGGGAGTCTGGGTCCCCCAGAAAGGGGACAAGGAGTGGTGGAGAGGAAGCTTTGGTCTGACCCTGCTCCGGGCGGAGTGGATGAGAAAGCTCCCATGAGCGAGGAGCTGGGTGAATGGTGGAAAGCATTGAAAGCTGCTCCCCCAAAATGTTTGCTTTCATCTAATGGACCTCTCCAGCAGCCTGCAGGGACCAAAGCAAGCTCCCCCATGGCCGCGCGGGCTCCCCTGGAAGGGACAGGAGCGCGTGTGAATGTGCTGTGCTGTGCTGTGCTGTGCTGTGAGAGGCTGAGCTCGTCCACCTTGCTCAGAAAAGACAATAGCCTCCTTCATTCAGATCCCGAAGGCCAGCGGAGGCTGTGCCGGACGTGCTGGGGGAGAGTGGGGTTAGGGTTATGCAAGCTGGGTTCTCAGAGATAGCACAGGGACTTGTTATGTGAGATCCCAGCTACAGAAAGCCAAGTGCCAGCTGCTCCCATTTCCACCTCTGATGGGGAGGTTACCACAATAGAGATACCAGAGACTCCCAGATGCAGATCCTGCCATACCAGCCTGGGATGGGTATCCTCGTGCTGGTACTTAAACAGGATAAAGGGGAGGACCTGGTAATTATAGGCCTGGCATCCATCCTGGGCAGAACAACAGAGCAGTTCAGCCGTGTTGGATCCCCGAAGGGTATTAACTGATCTATCAGCATGGGGTTACACGTGCGTAGAACCAGTTTGGGATGGAAACGCAGCTTCCGTTAATCGAGGCAGCGGTGTCAACGTCCAGGGGCTGAGGCTTCTGCAGGGCACTTGAACGCAGAACCGTGCACAAGCACTGTAGTGCACACTTAGAGCTGTGCACGGTCACTGTGGTGCATGCTTAGGGCCCTGCACTATCATCGTAGTGCACACTTAGAGCTGTGCACAGTCACTGTGGTGCATGCTTAGGGCCCCGCACTATCATCATAGTGCACACTTAAGAGCTTTGCATAGAAACTGTGGTGCATGCTTAGGGCCCTGCACTATCACCATGATGCACACTCAGGCTGGTGTGCACACCCTCAAGACCTCTCTCTGACTGCTGTGGTCCAGGGAGCCGTGGGCAGGCTGGTGGGGTTTGCTGGGAAGGCGGCTCCTTCCCCCTCCGCTTTGCCATTGACCTGGGAGAAAATACAAGAATCACCACTGCAAGGTTTCAGATGACCCAGAGCTGGAGGAGTGGGTGGTAAGGACAGGGCACTGATAACAGGTGCAGGTAAAATAAACACGCCTGCAGCACAGCTGAAAGCAGTCAGACGGCCAGGGACAGAGGCTATGGGCCCAGGGGCTTTGGGGACCTCTTGGGCCCCTGGACTGAGTTTCTAGAGCAGTGCTGGGGACAAAGGGCCTGATGTGATCACCAGGGGCCACCCAGGAGGAGCGGGAACCCCGTGTTCCCCAAGCACCTGGCACCCACATCTCAGCAGAGGTCTCGTTGAATGGGAGGGGAATTAGAGCCGAAATGCGAGGGGCAGAGAGCGAAAGCTTTGCAGACCAGATGAAGAGTGACTGTGTCCTTCATCTCAGAGACATCTGAAGAGACACTGGATAAGCCGGGGCCAGGCATTAGGCAGGGAAGTCCTGCAGCAATCGCAGTAGCCCCTGTCGTGTCTACAAAGAAGCCCTTAGCCTTTCTCTTTCCCGTCTGTGAGAGGGGGATAACGGCGCTGTCCCATCCCACCAGGAGCAGGGTGGAGGGGTACAACCATTAACACCTGTGGGCACACGGACCCTGGTGAAGCCTGCAGCTCTGGCTTAAGCAAGGGCTGAGGGTGAGGATAGCTTAACCGCCTGAGTTCAAGGCCGGCTGGCTGGGTGACATGCCAGCCCCGACGGTGCCAGAGCTGTGCGAGCGTTTGCTGAGGGCAGTGTAGGTCGTTGGTTGGTATTGCCCGGTCCTTCTCCCCACCCCGTCCTGCTGATCAAGAGAGGCTCGAGGGTCAGAATCTAAGAAAACGAGGGCTGGAAGGGACCTCAAGAGGTCACATCTAGTCCAACCCCCTGCCCAAAGCAGGACCAGCCCCAACTACATCATCCCAGCCACTTCAGAGGGTG